GAAACAGGAAACTCCTCGCCAACAGCTGGGCAGGACCTCTCGCCGCCCCAGAGCCTTCTCCCTCTCTCCGCTCCCCGCCCGGCTCGCTCTCTCCTAGCTGCCAATCACGTCCCTTAGACCGGCCCCTCCGAGGGCTTTGGCCAACTTGCAGCTGCCCCTTGCCGCCCCCGGGAGTCCTGGCTCCAAGGATTTACTCCGCGGTGACTAAGCGCACACGTTTCACAAAGTAACTGAACAGGGGAAGTGGGCTGTGTTTGCAAACTACAAGTTGCAGCCCAGAAGTGGATGCCGAAATCCAATGAGTTGTGAGCACGTATTTTTTTTACCCATTAAAATCGGCCAAGTATTGCCTCAGGAAACGTGTGTTTCAGTTATGTATGCAGTGTCGGTGGAAGTTGAGAAAGTTTTTTCTCAAATACTGTGCCTATTGAGCACCTGAGAATCTTGTTAGAATGCAGGTTGTGCTTCAGCACCTCTAGGTTTGGGGCATTTCTGATGAGCTCCTGGGTGGTGGCTCCCATTTGGAACTGATTCTTGCAGGAGCAGTGATTCAGTGAGGAATTGTACATGATCAGCCATCACAGAGTTATAATGGCGGGAAAGGTTCTCTTCAGAGTGTATCCTGTGTGCCAAAAAAATTTAAAAATAAAAGTGGCCTGGAAGTCAGCTGAATGCCGGAGTGTGCATTCCAATAGTGCCAGAGTTGGGAGAGAAGACTTAGCCTCACCTCTGCAGAAGGTGAAATCCTGGGAGCAGAGCAGGAGAAACTTTCAACTTCCCCTGCTTGATAGGGGGACCAGGTGTACCCCAAACACTTCTAATGTACATGCATTTTGAAGTTAATCATTACCCAACCAAAAACATTCTCTTTTGCACAATGAATTATATGCTCATCCTACTAATAGCTCTCGAGGCTTGGATCCCATATAACCCTCTGGTCAGGGAATCTTCCAGCAGGTTAAACAACTAACTCCTTTATCTGAGACAAAGATTGTTTGCAGACAGGCAAGGTGGCCAGGCTTACTGGAAATGCATAAAGGCAAATAGCCTTCCCTTAAACCCAACTCCTGAAACCGTCCCTGTCAATCCATGTGCTCATTTGCTTGATCCTGGCACCTTCAGTCTTACCACCATGGTTCCAGCCAGCACCGAAGCTGCCTCTGAATGTGTCTTTTAGGAAAATGCCACTTCCCAGGTCTGAGGTTTAGGAGGCAGGAAGGGCAGGGAAATGAGGAGGGCTGGGCGTCTTCTTGCCCACCAATGCCTCTGGCAAAATTTGAGCCACTGGCAAAATTGGAGCCATCTGACCCTAACCGGTTTGGCTCACTGGATAGAGTATCGGCCTGCGGACTCAAGGGTCCCAGGTTTGATTCTGTGGGGGCAAGTACCTTGGTTGTGGCCACATCCCCAGTGGGGGGTGTGCAGGAGGCAGCTGATCAATGTTTCTCTCTCATCGATGTTTCTAATTCTCCATCCCTCTCCCTTCCTCTCTGTGAAGAATCAATAATATATATATTTTTTTAAAAAAATGGAGCCACTTTAAGATGCAGAAAACTTGAGTTCAAAATCTGCTTCCCCCATTTCCTTCTCCACAGCTACCTTGCCTCTGCCATGTCCATCCCTTGAACAGGAGTCCCCCAACCATTCCCTCTTGGTAGGGCCATTGTGAGCCCTTTTATTCAGTTTCTCAAACCAGAGGTGAAGTCGGTGTTTCAAAGTGCAAACCTGGGTATACCCACCTTCTGATTAAAATCATTTCATGGCTTCTCACTGCTCTTGAGATAGAGGATGGGAACCATACCTTTTGCATGCCTTCAAGCCCCCTTCTCTCTTGTAACTTTCCATTGGACTTCCCCGCCTCTCCTGGTGAGGGCCTTCTCTACATGCCTAGCAAATGCCCCTCTATTCTTCCCACACAGAGCCCTTCGCAGGATGTACTTCCCTTCCTCTAACCTTTCTTTCTTCTTCACCCAGCCAACTCCTGATCAAAACTTCCTTAATGGACAAGCTTTCCCTGACCTCCCTGAGTAGATCTTTTATGATAGGTTCTCTTGGCACCAAACACCTCTCTTTTTTAACACTTACCATGGCTATAATTTTATCATTCTTTAACTTCTATTCCTCTCCCTCACTTAAATCCATATTTTTTGAGGACAAAGATCAGTTTCCCTCCACTCATCATTGTACCCCCAGCACCTAGCACAAATAGGTGTTTAATAAAATTTTGTTGGATGAATGAGCAAATGAGGTATTAAAGATTCAGAAGGAAGCTATACTTAATCCTCCTAGTTACTTCATGACTCTAAAGAAGGCAATGTATTACCTAATAAATTGAGATAAACAAGCTAGCTTTTAGCTGAGGATGATGTCACTACTACTTCCTTTTCTTAAAAATAGAGAAGTGCAAGTTTCCTTTTCCCCCCCTTTTTCTAAATTTGCCCAAGTTCCTCCACATAGCACACTGAGGCAAATAAATGCCCAATTGATTCTTAAGACTTTATTTCCCATACTTATTGCAAAGACAGATATTTACATGGTTAGAGACCAGGTTTGAGGTATTTCATTCCATGGTGGAAGATTTAACTGATGGACTTGGTCATCATGTATCACTAATGCCGATTTCAGTTTTGTTTGCCATTAACATTTCTGATTTGATCCTCAATCTCCTGTGAAACTGAGAGTCTGAATTCAACACTGCCAAGTGCAAACTCGTCTTTTAGCAACCATCACAATGAAATTGTAGACATGTAAACCCACATATTACAGTTTGACAATCTTGAAAATTTGTCCAGATCACCTTCCTTTTGGGATTCTCATTGAAAAAGAAATTTAATATCCTTGATCAAGACATTGTTTCATACATCGTTGTGTATTTGACTAAATATAATTTTCTGTATATTCACATAGGCAATTAATATGCATATGCAAAAATTGGGCCATTTGCAGATGGAAACAAAAAAAATGAAAGCTCAACTCAGGACTTAAAAAACAAGGAAGGAAATGTTTAAGCCCTTACCAAGTTGAACAAGGATAAAAATCAAACTGACCCAAAGTTAAACAGCTTGAACATCTCCATTTTCCTAGTTTTAAAAACTCTAAACACACATACATAAAACAATTGGTCTGAATCAAGGGCTCATGTGAGCCCTGCGTTTCCCAGTTGTGATGAAGCAAGAATTTTCTACTCCCCTGAATTTGTTGACATGCAGCTGTTGAGGTTACTTTAGTCAACCCAAGTGACTAAAGTAGTTGACAGGGAGACTCCTCTCCATGTAAATCAATCACTCTGCATTCTCCAGCGCTTATCTCTTGCCCAATTTTCCTTCTATTGTGAAGCAGACCATTAAGCATTGAGACAATAGTGAACTTGTGAGGGTCACCCACCCACCCTTTGAAGGTCATCCATGATAACCAGGCCCTCTGGGAAACATTTTGTGGTTCTTCCAGCCTAATGTGATCTCCTCTCTCCCAGGGAGAACCAAAGGAGCATTAAGTTTATTTATCCTTTTTTTTTATGTCTGCTCCATGGGGACATGAAATGCATTATAGTTATGCATTTATTTTTTGGAATTCTATCTCACCAATTATAAAGTCCTTGAGGACACAGATTATTCCTTTGTCAACTTTGAGCCCCACTCTGCACCCTACAATGTCTAGTTCTTATCTTCAATAGAGGGGGAAAATAAGAATATCTATTTCCCTAATCCATTTTGTTGTTTGCAATTCTTCCTGATATTAATAGAGCCTGCAATTATGTCACAGAAAGCATGAATAGTTTCTTTGGAAAAAATAACTTCTAAAAAGTTACAATAGTAATTTATAGATTACTTTTAGCAGAGTAAAATGTCTGAAATACAAACAAGCCAAAGGTGGAAAATAAAAAGAACCCCTTAACTTTATCACTAAGAGATCATCACTGTCAACCTGTTGGGACACATCCTTGCAGGATTATTCTAACCTTCACTTTCCTGGTAAAAGAATGTGAGGATTAGAGAGGTGAAGTACTCAAGTACTTGGCAAAGGTCGCATATCTAGATGGGAACTGAACCCGGATTTGAAGTAAGGCCTGTCGAGCGCCAGAGTTCCTAGGGCAGCCCCAGCCAACTAATACACCCTCCTTCCTGCCTTCTTGTTCAGCTGTTTCTTCTCAATATCTTCACAGGCTTGTTTTCTTCCACTCGTTGTTCAAATGGAAGTGCTTACCAAGGCCGCCTTCTGCCCCTCAATCACTCCTGCTGGGGACACATCTGTTTCTATGGCTTCACCGATATACCATGATTTCAAAAGCTAATGATCAGGCTCTAATTTCTCATCAAAACTACAATTATTCCAACTGCCTGCTCTACTGTCTTCATAGATGTTCTGCTGGCATCCACACTTTTTGCTCTGAAGTAGAACTCCAAAATGTATGCCCCTTGGCACATTTCCGATATGAAGTAAAGGCTCCATCTCCAATGAGTAAACCAAGCCAGAAGCATAAAAATCAGCTAAGAGTTTGCTTCTATTTTACCCATCAGAATTTAGTAGGCATTGGGGTATATTTACTTCCTAAACATCTCTTGAATCAATTCTGTTCTCATCCTCATCACTCACATTGTTTTAGTTCTATTTCTTATTTCAATTTCTTAATCTTCTTGCCTCTCTATTCTTACCCCATTCTATCAATTCCTCCAATATTACCAAAATGTTCCTCTCCATAAATGCAAGAAGAGCAATCACATTTAAAATTATCCAATGCCTTTTCACTGTCTTTCAGACCTAATTTCAACCTACCATTAATCTATTTACTTATTCAACCAGCATTTAATTCTCTACTATTACCCAAATACTGTGTTAAACAATGAAGACATAAGGACTCAGAAAATATAATTCTAGCCTTAACTGAAGGGCACCAGGCTGTCTTTATGATCTAATGTGAAACATTGATAAGGAAACAAATAGGCTTAATAAATATGATGCCGGGCCAGTGTGGCTCGGATCATGGTTCGATTCCCAGTCAGGGCATGTGCCTGGGTTGTGGCTGTGGGACATGCAAGAGGCAGCCAATCAGTGATTCTCTTTCATCATTGATATTTCTATCTCTCTCTCTCCCTCTACCTTCCTCTCTGCAATAAATAAAAATAACTATATTTTTAAAAGCTTTAATAAAAAAATGATAATATGATTGTCACAATGGTGATAAGCTCAGTGTGATAAGCTATGGAGAAGACACTACAGGCCACTCATCCAGCCTGAAAGTAAGAGAAGGTGTAAGGACAAAAATACCTGTGAGCTGAATCCTGAAGAATGGTTAGGGAAGCCGAGAGGAAGATGTTACAGATACAGAGGTCAGCAGTAAAGACAAGGAGACGCATGAGCTTGGAGTAGGTAAGGAGATGAAAATATTTCAGAAAGCCTCACGTATAGATTTGAAGGGATTTTAGATTTAATCTGTGGGCCCGATTCTCCACCCCTTCCTGAATCCATGCTCTTGTGACTGTGTGCACCTCTCACTAGAGGCAAAAGGTTTTTACAGGCAAAAATGATAATGGGGTTTGCTATGAAGATTGGGGATGAGGAGAGCAGTAAGACTCTAATTTAAATTTGTGGTGTCATCTACAAATTTGGTTATATACACTCTTACAGAATATGGCCAACATCATTGCTTGCTTACACAAAATCCATTCTCCCTTTCCACTTTGCTGTCAGAGTCCAATTTTGTTTAAGATGTGACTTTTAAAAAATATATATATTTTATTGATTTCTTTACAGAGAGGAAGGGAGAGAGATAGAGAGATAGAAACATTGATGAGAGAGGAACATCGATCAGCTGCCTCCTGCACATCTCCTACTGGGGATGTGCCCGCAACCCAGGTACATGCCCTTGACCGGAATCGAACCTGGGACCTTTCAGTCTGCAAGCCGACGCTCTATCCACTGAGCCAAACCGGTTTTGGCTTAAGATGTGACTTTAACTACATCTTAGGGAAAGGGCCTGTCTTTGTGTAAAGGTAGAAATGTGATCCAATTCTGGACAAGGACATGTATGCAGAATTCTGATGGAGGCTTGTGAGAAAAAACTTTTTCTAGCTGGTCACCAAGAAGTGTCCATGAGAGCTCCTCTGCCCCTTCCCACTCCAGTGTCCTACCTTTAACACGATTCAAGGAGGCTAAACTATTAGAGAGGATGCAGTCACCTTTCAAAAATAAGAAGGGCAAAGGTATCACAGAGTAGGACCACTGAACCAATACCAGCAACTACCTCAGTGCGGACATTATCTGAGGTGGTAGATAGTCTTCAAAGATGGCAAAGGGCCCTTCCTTCCTCCCTCTACTAGTCTCATGTTACTTCTCACCTCAAGAGTTGGGATAGAGTCTATTCTATTTTCTTTCTCCTTGAATCTGGGTGAGTTTTCACCAGTAGAATATGGTGGAATGACACAGTGCCTGATCTAGGACGAGTCTCAAAGACAGACTTCCTCTCTGAGAAACCAGTTACCAGGTAAGAAGTCAGAACATCAGGCTGTGAGAAAGCTCAAGCCAGCCACGTGAGAGGCCACCTGGAGAAAGAGTTACCCGGCCATCCACCAGCTGCTCAGCCTTCCTGACAAAGGCACCAAACATGTGGATGGATGAAGCCATCTTGGACTTTCCAGCGCTAGCAAATGCTTAGCAATCCTAGTCCAGAGAGAATCATAAGACATGATAAACCGATACTGTATAAATTGTTAGTTCCAGTCAACATCATTTCTAATACAGAGTAGTCCACTGGAGAAATGGAAAGATGTTCCAGTTGCCATATGGCTGTCAATCTGTGTACCAAATACAGAACCACATCAACTATGAATTAAGAACTGCATGGTTCCTCCAATTATCTTGTGAATCATGCAATTATATTTGTGTGGATTTGTGTTCATAAATAAATGTTTATATATTTGTATTTTATATGTGTAATTTTATGTTGCAGACTTGCACATATACCAACATTTTGTGGGTTTATTTTAGTATTTATCTATTTGTACACAATAATAAGGGATCATAGAACCCAAGAGTGGCCCAAGGTAACTTCAGCTCTGAGAGGCCCTGTCTTTCATGGCAGACAGAAGAGTTTGTACTTCATACTCAAGATGATGAAAGACATGGAAGGAGATTTGGTTCAGGGGAGGGAGATGGTCAGAGATAATCATATAAAGCTTTCAAATTAGTGATCTGAAGCTCTGAAAGATGCATCTGAGGACAGGCTTATGTCAGAAAAACAGGTGTGAAATAACAAGTCTGAACCAAACTCATGATCATGGATCATGGGAATAGAGGGAAATCTATAATAATCTATAATAATAAAAGCATAAAATGCTAATTAGACCAGACATCCTTCTGGTGGACACCCTTCCAGATGACCTTCTGGACGAAGCCGCAGTGACCGGGGCCGAGGCAGAGGCGTACTTCATAACCAAGATGATGAAAGACATGGAAGGAGATTTGGTTCAGGGGAGGGAGATGGTCAGAGATAATCATATAAGGCTTTCAAATTAGTGATCTGAAGCTCTGAAAGATGCATCTGAGGACAGGCCTATGTCAGAAAAACAGGTGTGAAGCAATAAGTCTGAACCAAACTCATGATCATGGATCACGGGAATAGAA